TGCTAAACAATATTATCAATAGGTTGTCATCTAACATCTGTTAATTATGCTATTACCTATTAATTATGCTTTGTTCACACTTAGTAAAATATTTTGTTCATTTCTGTTGTTCTTTCAGCTGCTTTGTCAGTTTTATTCTAATTCAGACGACTTAAAGGTTAATAATAATTCTAGCTAATAATGGAAAGCTTTTTGACTAAATGTTCTATTCAGGAAAGAAAAGTTCTCCTTCTTTCAATAATCAGTTGAAGCAGTTACTGTTTTAAAACAGAATAAAATACTTTGTAAAACAGGCACATAATTATTTTAGTTTTAAAACGTTTTATTTCAGATAAAGCATGCTGCTATATACAGAAAAAGTGTGGGTCCAAGCAAGAGCAATACAGAATGGGCAACATATTCCTTAAAACTTAAAAGATGCTTTTAAAAGCTTCAGTGCAACAGTAGTATGATATATTCTTCTCACTCCTAAATCACCTCTAGTAAAATGTCATTTCCTCACAGATCCTGAGCAACCCCAGCTATCTCTCATTTTTATATAATGATAAATTCAATTTTCCAACACAAAACTTACAGCAATGGTTTCAGCAAATAACCTCTACCACTTTAATATATTGAAGAAATATAACTTCACATTGCTAATATCTTATTTCAAACAGCATCATTGAACTATGCAAACTAAGTATGTTGTACATTTAGCAAGGTCTAGGCCAGTCAGTTTTTCTTTTCGGCTTTCTTTCTCCTACTTCATTATCTTTACAGCAGTAAAACTCAGTAAAAGTCTCATTCTTCTTCCTCCTAAAGAAATACTGTCAGCAACTTCCCTCTAATTTTCTCCTAAAGTTAAGGGACTACAATAGTGATGTTTTCCTGTATACTGAAGTTTGAGATAGTAAAGGAGTAAAGCTAAACTACTTTAAAATGAAGAACACGAACTGGGTTGTATTGTTATTTTTAGTTGTGGTGACAGTGAATGGCTAACAGGCTAATGACAGAAATCTACAGAGCAAGGCCCCAGCAGTGTGTGTGACACGCTGGGGCTCTAACTCGGGACAGCAGTTAATGTTTGACTGTAACTCTGTCTGTGTTTGCCCCAGAAACGTGGGCTTTTAACTTTTGACATTAAGGAGCTGCGCTGACAGGCCGTGATGCCAATTGCGCAATTTGGCAAAGCGTGGGCTGTTACGTTCCGTTTCAAACCTTTCCCTGTGGCATGAAGAAAGAGAGAGAGAGAGAAAGACAGAGACAGAGAGAGACACAAACACAGAAGAAAGAAAGGAGGGAGAAAGAAAGGGGTTAGGGACCATGGCTACCACTCCCTTGCCTTATAACTAGGGCAATGGCAATTTATTTGGATTTTCTCCTCAGCTATCAAATCGGTGCAATGAAGGCTGGGTGATGCTTTTTGGACCATGTATGAAAGGTTTTGCAGTTGTTCATTTCTGAGAAGTAACTTGATATAACTTCTTATTCTTTGACTTCTGCTTGGTATTACAGGGCTGCTTTTGCTAGAAATGCAGTGTAATCCCATTGTTTTCCTGCCACCAGTTTCTCTTGGCTTTTCCCTCCCTTGCCCCCAACTGAGCAGTCAGTGACAGTTAACTCATAAAAGTGAAAAATGAATGCAGGTATTTTCCATTCTGTAACACCTAGGCCAGCCCATATATATCCTGCTGTCCTTCCTGCAAGGACCATCACCCACAGGTTTAAGCAGTACTTTTCTACAGCTTTTCTCAGCATTAGTAAGTATTAGTGTTGACATTTGCATAAATATTTCTGGTCATGGGTGTCACAAAGCAGAACAACATGGGATTTTCAAAGCAGAGTCCTGTGAAGTATTGGCCATCTCCTACCCTCCCTGGCTACCTTTGACTGCACACTGGGGCTGTTGAGCCATGTTCAGCACCTCTCAGGATTTAGCCTTTTCTAGACACTCTACAGTTTAAATTCAGGTGTTGTAAATAAAAAGGGGAAGAAGGAGGATGTGAGATGAGAGCACAGTGAAGGAGAAGTATATCAAACAGAATGGAAAATAAAATGTTCTCATTATTTGCAAAATGTATTTGAATCATTGCAAACAAGGTAATTTTTTTTCCTCATTATTTACACTCAAAACACAAGACAATTAATTGTGTTAATGCAGTGGAACTTGAGAGTGAAACCAGCCAAACAGAAATGAGCAGACTGAGCTGGTTTTACTCCTCAGGCTGAAGAAAGCACAAAACAATAAACAGTAAATGCCAACAAATTCACTGATACTTCTAAATCTTCTGTTCTTAATAACAGTGTCATGCAAGTAACATTCCTGAAGAAGTATTGATGTATGACTTCTCAAAATATATTTTATGCTTTTCAGTAATTAAAAGATATAAAGTATTCCTAGCTGAAACTTCCCAATGGCACTTTTTCCAGTTACACCGGAGTGTACCAGCCTCAGTGGGTCTGACATGCAATTTAAGAATTCCCTTACTACTTTCGAGATATTATCCCTCCATTCAAGGAAAAGGTATTCAGAAACATGTGTTTGGCTTGAAATACATCCCTTCTTTCCAGAAAATAATCCACAACGATCATCACACCAGCAATGGAAAGTTTTCATAGCAAGTCATAATCTCATGTGTGCCTTCAAAATAGCAGCAGCACGAGCGAGGGACAGTCATGCAACGTGCTCATTAATATTAACTGAAAGGGATATTCTGTCACCCGAAAATGCCCAAGCTCCATGGATTTCATTTAGAACATATGTCATGAAGTTAGAAGCAGCAATCTAAAAGTGACTATTTTTATGTAAAGCAGTTCTGTCAAAAATAAGCTACACGTATCACCCTCTGTCCCCCAAGAGTTTGGGAGAAATCTGATCAGCATTTCATGCAGTTCTTGCAAGAGAAAGCACCAGAGAGATTGCTCACAGCATGCCCTGAAACCAAAATCCCCTGCCCTCCAAATCTCTGGCAGTTTAACTTTTGGAACATGAAGGATTTTTCCAGAAGTCCAGTACAGCAGGGCATTAATGCAATACTGAATCTGGCAAGACACAGGTTCTGTGGTTCCATGGAAAGCTTTCGCTTTCAAGAACCCAGGAAACCTTCCAGATGATCCCAAACTGTGGATGTGCAGAAAGGTGTGGTTGTATAGTCTGGATCTGAAGTAGATGCTGAAGAGGACTTTCTATTTCATCATTGTGCTGGAATAGAGTGGAGTTCAAGCATGGAGTCTGTGCATCTGACACAGATCCTTCCATCCCCTACAAAATCAAAAGTGGTAGGTGCCTTCCCAAGAGATGAAACAGGTCCCAAAGAGTTGTCTATGATCGATGCATGCACAACTGGGGCTTTTGCTACCACATCTCCAGTGGAGTGTATGCAATGTTTGAGGCAGACACCAACCCACCCACATGGGACAGGCACTGTCAGGGAGGCAGGAAGGAGACCCCATTTCATTCCTTGCCCCGGAGCTCACACCAATTGCACAGTTCCTGTGTAACTACCTAGTACATGTTCCCTTGACTCTACTGCCGATGAATGCCCTTAAACCTGTTCAGCTGTGCCTAAACATAGCCAGAATCTCCTTGTGAAAACAAAAGATAACACAGTGAAACCTCAAAACTGCAGAAAACATGCAAAGCACAGTGAATATAGTCATGTACTTCGAGATAGAATGTGCAATTTCCATGTGTTGATGTGTTACTAGATAATTATTGTCAACATAACTGATACCACCTAAATTTTCCAGTATCTAGAATTTTCCAAAGCCACAGACTACACCTAGAAAGATTATTCCTCTAAAACAACATATTACTCTCAGATGTGAATGGGGGACTTTTAAGTTCATCACAATGCTTTAAATCCCATCATAGTAAGGATTTGGATGTGTGCTATTACATCAAAACAGATAATGCACAATACATTTAATGAGAATTAGGCTTGCACATTTGAGGGAAGAAATAAATCCCTGAGGGATATAATGTCAAGCCTGATGTTCGGGCACTCAGCTGTGAACTTGGGTGAACTGCAATGGAAGGTTTATAGCAAACATCAGCTGAAAGCACACTTGTGTTCTCACAGGGAAGATAACAGATTTCTTTCTCACTGATTCAACATTTGTAACTTGCACTGTGATCAAAAGCTCAGAACCTTCAAAGAAGCCGTACAGCAGTAAAAAGAAAAAAAAAAAAGAAAAAGGAAAGGAGGTGTTTTGAGTATCAAACACATCACAGACTCAGCCAGCGGCTTAGAGTAGCTCATGTGAATAGGGATTTGAAGTATGCAAACAGAAAATAAGGCTTACGCGCAGGATGCTCTTGATTCAACTGCAGTTTTTAGCTCAACATAAGAATCTCTAATACATCTATTTCCTGGCTATGCAGGATGATGATAAATCTTTAATTCCATATTATATCTCTGAACATATCCACTTTTTAAGTGTTTTTGATAGATCATATGAAACAAATACATTTATCCACTAGCAAAAGCAGTCCTGTGCTTCCGTATTCTATAAATTTGGGTCATGTTTATTCCAAATAAAACATAAGCTAATGATTATGGGTATGGATGGAAACAACTCCTTTACTGTATCATTTAAGGAGAATCAAATGTCAATCAGAGGGTCATCCAAATAAATTGCTCACAAATTTCAGTGCTATCACAATATTATATATATTTTCATCCATTTACACAATCAAGTAGTTACATGGGGCCTGGAATTCATCACATTCACACACCCAGTAAAGTACAGGAAAGTTGCATGAGCAAAGAGCTTTGAGATTTGAACACACACTCCAGGAATTTTGCACTGTCTTTCCTAAAAGCATGCTAATTTGTTATCCTTCTCATTCAAATGCCTCTCACAAATAGCATTTTAATTTTAGTGATTTTTAAGTAAATGTATTAGACTATTTTAGGACAAAAATATAATAAAGGAGGTTCGTATTAATGCCATTTTAAAAAATTATTGGGTTATCAGGAAGGAGAAAGCCATATTTTTCACAGGGGGTTGCCTACCTTGACCTCCTCAGGGCTTCCTCATCTGGATCTTGCACTGCAGACAAAAAGTATTTCAGTTAAAAAAAGAAAGAAAGAAAGGAATTGGCTTTATGATGAAATAATAAGTTCCTTAGAAACATATCAAAAGCCTATCTAAAGGTGCATTCATGCTGATTTTGCAGCAGTGGAATCTGTAAGAACACCATGAGGAGGAGCAGTTCCCTAGAAATGGGAAGGAGGATGTTAGGAGGAATGTAGCTATTACAGCTACTTTGTCATTCATTTATTAGCAGTGTTTCACAGCTGTAGGCAATGATTCTACAGAGAGGTCCTGCTGTTTTGCAGGAAAGCACAAGAGGCATCAGCAGTAGATCCATAGGAAACACTATTTCCCTCTGATGTGGGAAAGGGCCCTGAACTTCCTTATCTCCAGATCAGAAACCAGCTGTGAAGTTAGTACCAGGTGGTCAGAAAAATATTTCCATAGGCAACAAGCAGCAAAGTTCAATCTCCTGTTACATTCATAGCAGATCTAGGTTTAGATAACAGGGCTGATAGAACCATAGATTCAAGACAAATGGTGATCCATGATTTTTTTTGACCTCCAGAAGTCACTTCTATAAAAGGCTGTTACAAGAGACATGACTTATTTGTCATTTTTCTAGTGAATGGACAGCTTTGTATGTCTAAGCTGCTGGAGAACAAAAAATTGCACTGCAGAAATTTTATTTGTAAGTAGGAAGAACTATGGGGTCCCAAATGCTCTTTTACTATATAGTCTGTTATAGTTTTATGGTGAGACTTCTGGCAGATCAAAGAATTTTCTTCACAAAGCATAAGGTGAGACTGTACACTTTGATTTCCTATTCCCTCTAGTTACATCCAGGATCTTGGACTGAAAACTATGAGTCTGGTCATGATTCCTTCAGAATCAGTGGCCAATACTGGGGCGATACATAACGACAGGAATCTGAAATCAGGCTGAGGAGGATGTTCTGTTATTCCACTTACTGTACTCTGTTCCAGTCATCTGGGCAAGGATGCGGAAGGACTTGGACTGCAGGTTGGCGGAGCGGCGGCTCCAGTCCTCACTCTCATCCTCGGGCTTGTTCTGAGTTTTCAGCACAGCCTGATACACCGGGGAGGCACTGTCTACGTGAGGGTCTTTAAGAGGGAGGGTACTGTAATTCAGAAAGTGAAACATTGTGAAACAGCACATGGTGGCTTTCCTTCCAACCTCTCTGGTCTTAGCTTATCACCCAGAGTAACAGCAATCCACAACATGGCTTTGAAATTACCACTTCTTAAAAAAATACATTGATCAATTTTATGTTATGGCTCGTTCTATCTTTGGAACAGCCTGTTATCATCAAATCTGCATATTCAGAACAGCATGAAAATGCTTGGAAATATCTGTTCATGATTCCTCAGCCAAGGAAGCCACAAGTAGCTTACAGTGGTTGGAATAACGTGTGGTGATAAAGGCGAGTATGCCAGGCAAAAACATTTATTTCTCTGAGAATTCCTGTCCCCTATTATTTCTTATAAAAATTACTTCATGTTGATAGTGTTTTATGCTACTTCTTTAAATTACAGTATTGGACCAATGCACTTTGAGATTGTACTTAGAAATAAACCCCATATTTCATTATAAAAATAATGTGGTAGGCTTTTATAGCTCTTTCTAGAGATGATTCTTTGTTAAACTCTGAATTAAACTTCCATCTGCCATAAGTCTGGATTCATTGTCTACTAAACCTGTGAAGCAAAGAAGTCTAGACTTGTACTCAAGACTTGCATACATATGCTCTATCTGAAATCTTTAGCAACAGAATGTATCTCAGAGTCTTACAACATGTCTACTCATCTTGCAAAGTGACAGATCCAGGAAAAATCTTTCAATTGTGCACACCTAAAATCAAAGCTGTAGCACAAGTGAAGTAACCTCTCTTTATGATGCAAGCTAGAAACAGGCTTAGTAACTTAATAGTGCCTTTTTTTCCCCTGTGAAAATAACTTCTGCATAGCACAGTTAAAATTAACTATTAACAGAGCTGCAGGAATATACACTGAGGGGATGATGTATGCTTGGAGTAACTTGGCTCCATGGCTTCTCTAAATACAAGGTCTATTTTTGAAGCAAGTGATTTATTGTAACAGCTTTAACTTGTTATTCCATAAAGAGCTTTGCAAGCAGCAAGCTCAACTTCAGGAAAACTGAGAAATGGTTCTGTTAAAAGTTAAGGGCCATTTGGTCCAACTAAGTCACTGCCATAAAGTTCCAGGAGCAGTCCTCTGCTATAAAAGTTTCTTCCTTGGTTCAGGCTCAAACTTAGTGTTCTCTAAGACACCATTGTGCAGAGAAAATCTACAGAGAAGCTGAGTCTGTGATTTGAAGACCTGAGAGAAATCATGAAAAAGCCAAGAAGCATGTCTGACATCCTACACACAGCAACAACATACACTGTGATGAAAAATATTACCAGGTAGTGCTTTAAATATCAGTATTTTCCAGCTGACATACTCCTCTTCATCAATACACAGTTTTGATGGATCTGGACATAATAGCATGGGACATGTTCTTCAGGTCAGTGGCTCACAAACATGGTCAGTGTTTATATGGACCCAAAAGAAGCCCATCTCTCTAGGAATTTTCAGGTTTTATTGGAGGAGTATTTATGTTCTTCATAACCCCCAATTTATGCAAACTTATCACTTTCTTGAGGACCCAGCACAGCACAAACCTCAGTAATTTTTTTTTTGCATGTTTCAACACAATCATTTATGTGATGGAGCACAGCTCGGAAAAAAGGTGAACTTAGAAAAAAACCTGACTCTTCAGTTTAAGCTCTGCCACAAAACATACAAGTTATGTAAAAAAAGTTTCTCAGTGTGGAAGATGCCCTGTAGGAATAAGCAGCATTTTCCAGCTCCTCTTTTAACTCATGTTTCCAGACAACTATCCTTACAACATCTAAACACTAGCAGGCACACAAGGCATAATGTAGACTTGTTTATTTTGGGAAGGGTGTGCCATCAGTGGCTTGCACTAGTGTTGTTCCTAGTGGAAGATGGGAAAGCAGCAGTCTTCCTCTTCTGGCCCATCACATATGGCTGAAGGGCTTGCTGAGGGAGGGCACAAAGCGTGGGAGCAGGAACGGTCTTTGCATGGAAAAGATTCTCTGTAATACCAACAGTAAGTCAGCAACCCACCCAGGACTGTTCTGCTGCTGCCTCTGACACCTGGCTATGCTGAAAAGTTCTGTCACTGTAAAGGGTCTTGTTAATGTTCCCCAAAAGATGACCCCAGAGGCATTTGAGGATGCTGAGCACCCAGTACCTTGCCCTGTACGACTGCTATAGGTGACTGCCTGAATTGGGCCAACAGTTAACTTTATATTCCCAGACTGACTTTTTAATCTTGCTGAAGCTTAAAAACCCACTGTTTTTAGCAGTGTGATAGCACATTTCCCACCTGCATACTGTTGCAAAGTGGATAACAAACCTCTGCTGACTTCAACCATAGACCACTGTGGCAACAGCACCGTGCAAGTTACAGACAGTACAAATTCCTTTGACTAAATCCTCTTGCTGAAATGCTTTGTTCTTGTATTATGACCAATATACCAAAAAAAGCAGTTTAAAGGTTTATGTATAATTATGCTATTAGCTCAAGGTTAGTTAAAAAACTAGAGCTAAAGGCTGGACCACAAATTTCACAGTAGCAATGTGTGGTATTAACAGGACATATTAATATCCTTATGGTAGATGATTAAGGCAGGAAATGGAGCTTGGTGAATTAAACTTCCCTAGCAGAGTGAAACATGCTCATATAAATTGAACTAAATTAATGTAATACATTGGAATATTTCCAAATCTGCCTTTAATTCAACAGGCCTTTTTCTTTTTTTAAAATCATAATTACATTGTAGATGAGTAACTAGGACATATGAGCCATTCAGCATGGAAGTGCAAAATAGAGCGCATCGCTGATTATGAGCATTTCATAAACCTAAATGTGACAGTTGATTCTTACAGACAGCCTAAAGATGCACATAACCACGTTAATACCTCTGTTATACCTCTTTGTAATTTAATTTCTTTCCATCTGGGTGTGGATGTGCAGAAATATTATTCATCTTTAAGCATATTACTCTAAATTGATGTTACTGAAAAAAAATTCTTCCCAAATGAGTTAGAGCTTTTGAGGGTTTTCACACTACAGCCTGAGGTATTTTTGTAGGAGTCAATAAAGAATCATACTCCTTTTTCACATTATCATACTAGTCACACATTATTGACATTAAAACAAGCTTTAAGGACAGTCAAACTGTTTTGAGTAAGTAGCAGTGGGATTATTATTTTTTGGAGTCCATTATAAACTACAGTTTACCATGTGAATGGTACCCTGGAGTCATTAACCAGGTTTAATTTAAATAGATAATGAGTAAAACTTAGGAACACTGCAGTGTTCTACCCCTGGTGTAGACATACCATGAAATATTGTGACTTCAGATATTAGACTGATTCCAGCTATTCAATAAAAGGGCTAAGAGGTAAAAATCCCCACAACCCAACAAAACCCCAAAAGTTCATGTAGACTGGTAATATCTACCCAAGTTGACTCACTGTAGAGGATACATAAGACTTTAGTTTCTACCCAATCACATTATTGATTCTGCTACTTTAACTTTTCAGTTCTTAATCTGGATAAAGTTGTTGGATTTATGTCTACTTACGACTTGTGAATTTGGCTAAAACTGCATAACAGAATTTAGAAGAGGTTTGACAGAAATGTAATCAAAATGTACTAACCACGTGGTTTTACTGCAACCAGCTCTTGCTTCTTGGTTTAGCAAAATCAATTAAAACAAAAAAAACATAGAAAGAGAAGAAACAATAAGAAGCCATGGCATTCAAAATTCTCTGCCTTTAAGTTCCAGTGTAACTGCAGTATGAATAATTCTATGGTTTCCTTTGTGTTTTCCATGATGGTCCAGTATGCGTGGGTTATTTTCTAAGTGACAAGGGTCTGATTCTGATCTCACTAAGTTACAGCATCACTGATTTCAAATAGTGAAACTAGAAAATGGATTCTTATCTTGAGCCTGTCTGTCCTTCATCATGAATAGAAGAGGTAAGCAGTGTTTCCAGGTACTGTCTGCCCTTTAGGTCTGCAGTCTGAGTGTGCTTACCATCTTACAGATGGCTGACCTCTAACATGAAATGAAAAGCCAGAAGAAGCAAAATTAAGCACTGCGACTGAATTATATGCAGAGAATTGACACAAAATGAATCAGTACATAATTTGGTCTGCTTTTATACGAAAAACTCCTCATACAAATACTTCTGCATTAAGCATAATCTTATCTCAGATTTGACCAACTAAGTAAATGAAAGAACATATCACTTCCCACTGCAAATTAAAGTTCAGAATATCATGGAAGCCAAAAGAACCTAAAGGTTTAATCAAATGAGTATCAGTCAATGGGTAGGCCATTCTTAGGGCAGCACAACCCTTGCTAGGTTTCTAGATATAGAGATTAAAAATGCTGTGTTAATTGTAATAAAAAAAACCTACAGAGAAAACTGAATAGTCACTAAGTGTTATAAATAAAAAAAAAAAAAAGGCAAGAAAAGTTACAAAACAGGCTGTAGCTCTGAGCACAGTAGGAATAAAAACACTAGTTCTCCTTGGGACCAGGCAAATGTTTGGCTTGGGAGTCACATTCCAAAGTGAAGCAAAAGCTTAAATGGTAGCTTATATAGTGAATCTTAAAGAAAAGTGGGTTTTTGCAACATTTCATGGGAGAACGTACTCATGGAGTTTTCTGCAAAGAATAATGTTTCACTAGAACTGTCTAATAGAAAAGGATTAATGGAAATAACCATCTCATATCAAAACCACCCATGCAATAGGTGGCTTCCATGTTCAAAATACAGGAAAAAAAGTAAAAAATTTAGAAGACAGTGATGTTTAACACAAACTTTGCTGCTGGTGGTGTAATGAGTCAACACTCCATAACAGTCTATTTTTTATCTATGTATCCATTCATTTGGTTCTTTTAAAGATATATGTATATATCTTTAATATATATATATATGTATGTATCTAATATAGTTCATGACTATCTTTTAATTTATGATTCAAGTCTCTCTTATTATTGAGATTCTTTACTTC